GACAAGGAGGAGGGTTGAAAGCATAGTAACAAAAACCAGGGAGAGAGTGTTTTTTGTTTGAGTGCATTTTGTTAAAAAAAAAAAAAAAAATCATAATCAAATGTTTTTGGAATTCATTGGAATAGAATTGTACTGGTGAAAGATAATGTGGGAAACAGTGTAGTTTATGGTCCCTCTGGTGAAAGGAATCCAATCCATGTAAAACAGAGAGTCAGGGAAGTCAAAAGCTGCAGTGAGAGAAGAACAAGACTCTTCATAGAAGAAGCCGAGCCCGTCTTAGACGCTGCCAAGACAGAAGAGAGTGATAAGTAAAGAAGGGATGGAGAGTTTGTGGAGTTTGTGTGTGGCCTCTCTGACACCTATGGTGAGTGGAGGAAATGGATCCTTCTTCACATTGAGTGAAGGAACTGTGAACGAAAACACTGGACAGGAACAATAAGACCCCCGCCCCCGCGATTCTCTCTCAAAATCTCTCTTTTGATTTTCTCTAAGAGTTGACTCACCTTCTGTTCCACATATTCACACATTTCTGGGAGCAGCACAGAAGCCTTGGAGTCACATAGACAACGAGACTCTTTCAAACAGCAGTTCAGTTGAACTCAGGGTTTAATCCTCGCTGCTAAACACTCAGACTCGTGTTTTGATTGTGCAAACTATGCTTGAACCAATCAGACGCTCAAAAAACCTGTAACTGAAACCACAGTAGCCAAAAACACCACAATAGTTTCCAGAAATGTCATGTAAACACTTTTAAGGCCACGTTTTGAGCTACCTTCCAGAGGGACGAGTGAAATTAATGTGAAAATAATTCTATGAGACAGGGCCAGGAACACGCAAGATGCTCATGAATGGCTTATAAACTGTGTGTAATATATATCAATGAAGAGAAAATGAGTTTCAGCACATGTTCAATGTTGTGGCAATGGAAGAAAATGGAATCTAGATATTTCTGGGGGCGTCTACCTCTATATTCAAAGTTAAACATAAAATAAATGAATAAAAAATACATCTTATATCTGTTAGTGACCAAAAGGTGCTGATGAAATGACTAATTCTATGATACTGACTAAAACAGGAGCAATGGATGAGATGAAAAAAAGCGCCGGGCAAATCACAAGTGGATACTTGTGGCTCGTCACGTCAGCACGACACAGCTGGAGGTGAGCGACAAACACCTGCACACACATACACAGAGGGAGGCTGTGTGCGTCAGCAGTCCAAAGTTGTAATTGGATGTGACAGACGGGCAGTAATCCGATGCACCAGAAGCAACAAGTACTGGTCTGACCCCACCCAACAGACAGACACCCACGCACGCACGCACACACACACACACACACACACACACACACACACACACACACACACACACACACACACACACACATATGCACCCCACTGAGATGGGACTGCCACTGCTGGACCCCTGTGTGTAACCTGAACAGAAACCTGTGTCTGCCTGTGTGCGTGCGTGTGCAAATATACAGTATATACTGTATATGCCTCTCTTTGTGTTTCAGTGAATATCTGTGTTTTGAGTTTTATTAGTAACAAGAGAACATTGTTGGATAAAGAATGGAAATAAGGGAACAAGAGATATAGGGAGATATAGGGAGTGAGGAGAAATGGAAAGGTAATTGCCTCTGCAGCACCAATCATCACCTTATGCCCCTGGGAAGGATCATTATAGAGTCTGGCCCTTTTTGGTTTGATGGAGGGATTATAATCACTAAAATAAACGAGCAGAGAGTGAGAGAATGCACATTTCCAGCAGCTGTGCAGCTCTGATCCTCAGCTCTTCACATACCGTCGCACTCAAATCCCTCACCCACCCAGCCTGATCCAGACAGACACATGCACACATCTGTCTCTGTCAAAAAAGTTGTGTGTGTAGCATCAATTTCTATTTCTATTTAATCATTTAAAACAAATGTAAGTATCCACGCAGGACCAGAGGTTTCACACTTAGTCAGACTGAAAGTGAAAGAAAATTCCCAAATCTTCTTTGACTGTCCCCATTTAAAAAAATGCAATCATATGTGTCTCCAAACAAAGTACCGAGTGTCACTGATGCCTCTCCATTACAGATAAAAGGAACATAAAGGGCCTGGTTTGAGACTTGAAGTGAACATTTCCGATGTGTGTTTTCTCTGTGTTTGTGAAGTGCAGCGTGGCGCGATGGAGACGATGGAGCGGAGAGATGCTATCTCTCCATCCCACATAAACTCTCCTGGATGGAGGGGCGGAGGGGAGCGTCGAGGAAAGGCCCTGTTTGTTTGTGTTTACCCTCGGAGCGTGCTGTGTTCCTGATGGACCTAGAGATAAATGGAGACCGAGAGCGAGCGGGGGGGTTTGAAAGAGAGGCAACAGTGCAACCTGAAAAGACAATATAAAATATGTCTTAAAATCACAGATAGTGAGCTTTCTTCTAATCATGTTGTATGTTGTATTATATTTCTACATTCTAAATATTGATGTCAGCGTCATTTTCAAAGATCCACTATGAGTCAGACTCTTAAATTGGCGAATGACAATATACTTGAACTTGATCTTGATTTCCTACCTCCACTCTCACACTAGTATTTTTCCTGGCCAAGATTTTATAAAACCTGGAATACAAAGGTACAAAAAAAGAAATCCAACCACCTCTGAAACTTTCCATTTTGCTCTTTTTTTGTGGACGTCATCTATCTCCCTGAAATCAATCCCACAACTCCCTTGCACTTGTCCCTGTACCACTTTCTTTCTTTTTCTGGCACTCGCCTCGCGCCTCTTTCCAGGTTGCAGTAATATTAATGTGTGCTACTCAGACACGGTTTAGAAGAGGAAATAGGATGTTGGAAGTTGCCTGCCAGCACACACAGAAATAACAAAATAGCTCCACCAAAAACAGATTTGAGAGAAGGGCTCATGGCTCTATTTGCCAAAGAGGTATACAGCCGAGGTGAGCTCTACTTCATCGGTCCGGTGGGAACAACCTGGCATGGCTGCACTCTGCATATTAACACCCGAGCATACCTTTGCAGTGAAGTACACAAGTACACACTCCCAACAACTGTTGAGCAAACAGCTGACACTCTTGTTGACACCTAAGCAGGTTAACAATTAATCAAATTATACCAAAATAAGCACTTTGGGATTCTCTCTCCTGATGGACTAGATCCAGTCCTTTGCTATTCCCATCTCAACCATTATGCTGCTGCTCCTGGCTGGCGTTTGGTGCTGATTTCTGCCGGACTAAATGCCTGTCTGTTCCACTTAGAGCTGCCTCTCAGATGCACTTGGGGGTGGGGGGGTGGGGGGAGTGCATGAGGCATGAAAGACTGGAAACGGGGTCTGTCTGCTCCAAAGGGCACAGTGACAGTGTAGAAGACAGTGAACAAAATAAAGAGTGGTGAGATTTTACAGGGAAAGGCTCTCAGAAGAGGTGAGAAGGAAATCAGAGAAAAGAGGGGCAGGGGAAAATAGTAAAGGTTAATCGGAACACTCCGGGTGATGAAGAGGTGAGGAAGAGCTAGATTAGAACACAGGGAACATGCATATTCAAACCTGTGATAAAGAGTGCGGATGTCCATCAGTCAAGACATCTTTCCTCGTCTCACCGGGAACCATCTGCTTCTGGATGTTAGGAGACTTGATTTGCCTTCAGACAGAGAAAAAGGGATGAAGAGGATCATACTCATAATGAATGATGATGTTGTTTATCTGTAGGCCAGCACACAAGTTATACACAATATACAATGGCAACATTTTACTTGAAATTACTTCTAAAAAAAAAATAATAATGTATTGTTGCCCTTCATATGAACAGTACATAATATTTTTATAATTTTGTTTCATTGTACAGTTTTTTTGAGAGTTAAAACAAGGCCTTCTTATTGCATCACACAGGTAAATGACAGACCATGTGCTGCGCATGTGTCTAGTCTCAGTAACACGGCAGACTGGGACAAGACGAGACTTGACTGATGACTGATGTGAGACACTGCTGTGTAAATCTTTCAACGACAAAACACACAAACACACGTAGACAGGAGATGCAAGCACAAGCACGCACACAAATACACATGCATAATTAAATATGTGCAAGAAGAAAGTCGACAAATAAGGGGACAGGAACACACATGCAGGAAACAAATATCCAAGTTTGTCATTCTGTGCATCCATTGGCTTACTCTTACACACACACACACACACACACACACACAC